AGCAGCAGCAGCAGCAGCAGCAGCACAACCCCCTTGACACACGCGCATTCGCGTCTCGTCTCGAGCGTCCGTACGCTATAGCAGCTTCCGCACGCCGCGGCGGGACCTACCTGTGCGCGCGAGATGCGTGTGCAGCAGCTGATGATGGGTGGGACGCTAAACAAAAGAGAAAGCTTGCACCGCCTCGTGCAAGCTTCTGCGCGGGATGAGCGGATGGGACGTGTGCGGATCGAGCAGCAGTAGCAGTTGTAGACGATGGTCAACCTGATGTTCGAAAGGGCGATTGACTTACCCACATTCTCTACTTCTCGAGTCATGCTCGCAGAGATCTGCTGCAGCCATGCAGAGCCACAGACTAAGGTGGAGGTGCCACGCTCGACGCAGTGATTGGTGCCCCTCACATCTGAACGTGAACGAAAACAGGACGATCTGATTCTTAGGTGCAATTGGATACAACGAACATACACATTTGGGTCGGAATAGAAAGCAAAACGGGCGTGGTGGCCAGAGTCTCGGAGGAAAAGGTGACGATGACTCTTGACTGTGATGAGCCCAGGGTCTAAAGATTGGGACAGGATCGCACAGCACATGATTCGCATACGTAATGTCGCTGCCATTCTCCGCGCTCGCACAGGGATTTGCTCCTTCGCTTACTCGCCTTCGCCGCGGGATGACTGCAGCTCATCACCTTCCTCCGCATCGTCGGCCGGCTCACTAGCCTCTGCGGCATCGAGCTGCTTCTTGACTTCCTCCTCCTCCTTCGCCTTGGCTTTCGCTGCGTTCTCTTTCTTACTCTTATTCGACGCCCCTCCAACTTTTCTCGCTCCAGCGGGTACGGGTGCATTGGGATCTGTGGTGACCTCCGTGCTTGTCTCGCCGGGGCGAGTCTCGGCTGCAGGAGGTACTCGCTGCGATGCTGGCTCAACCGAGGCAATACCCAGTTTGCCCTCCAACTCGCGCACTCTGTCCTCGAGCGCGTGAACACGAGTCTCCCACATCCCGCGCTCCTCTTTAATGCGCCGATCAACGGTGGCATCCAAGACACGACTAGAGCGCTGCAACGTCTGCAGCAGCGTATTTGAACGCCTCACCTGATCCTCGAGGGTAGCCTTGAGAGTGCGCGAGTCGGTAAGGGAATCGTAAAAGTTCGAGAAGAGAGCCAAGAACTGAGTTTTGCTGCTGGGAGGTGAGCGC